GGGGATCAAAATACAAAATTTTTTCACCAAAAGGTTAATCAAAGACAAAGTAGGAATGTTTTGCCGGGGTTGTATGATGAGGCAGGGGTATGGCATGCAGACAAGAGGGGTATAGAGACGGTGATTGTTGATTACTTCATGAAATTGTTTGATTCTCAGGGTGCGACGGATGTGTCGAAAATCATACGGGTGGTTACACCCAAAGTCACGGTTGTGATGAACCAGAAGCTTATTCAACATGTGTCTAATGAGGAAATTACAGGGGTTTTGTTTCAAATGCGTCTAACTAAAGCTCTGGGCCCTGACGGTATGTCACCAGGTTTTTATCAGAAGCATTGGGAGGCCAAGATGTGTGTGATAGGGTAAGGCATATTCTTTCATCGGGTCATATGCTTAATAAAATCAATTATACCCATGTCACTTTGATTCTGAAGAAAGTGGATCCCTCAGCGATGACTGAACTTAGGTCGATTAGTCTTTGTAATGTGATTTATAAGATATGCTCAAAGGTTCTTACTAACCGTCTGAAGGCCATTCTTCCGGAAATTATATCACCATCTCAAAATGCCTTTATACCGGGAAGGCTAATTTCTGATAATTGTTTGGTAGCCTTTGAGATTGCTCATTATATGCATAGGAAGAATAATGGGTGGAATGAGGTGATGGCGTTGAAGTTAGATATCAGTAAAACCTATGATCGTATTGAATGAAGTTTCTTGAAGTAGATTATGAGAAGGTTGGGTTTCGCGGAGGAATGGATACAATGGATAATAATGTGTGTGTCTACGGTTTCTTATTCATTCAAATTGAATGGTGAGCCTGTGGGGTGAGTGTATATGAAATGAGGATTTCGCCAAGGAGATCCCCTCTCACCTTTTCTTTTTGTCTTATGTGCGGATGGATTATCGGCATTATTTGATTCTTAAGCTCAAGGTCGTATTCAGGGGGGCCATCTATGTAAAGGGGCTCTAAGTGTTCATCATTTGTTATTTACGGATGATAGCTTTATTTTTGCCAGAAGTTCTTTACAGGAGTGTTTACAGGTGAAAGAGTTATTGCATACATATGAAAAAGCGTCTGGGCAAGCAGTTAACCTTTGTAAAAGTAGTGTTGCATTTAGTAGGAACCTTACGGAGTTGGATGCACAATTTTTGGCCGATTGTCTAGAGATAGAACGGGTGGAGTATCACGACCGATATCTTGGACTACCGGTGTTTGTTGGTAGGTCCAAGAAAGACACATTTGCTTATATCTAAATTTCTTATCTTCAATTAAAAAAAATCTGGTACTAGATTACACATTCAATCTAATCCCTTGAAGTGTACTTTTATTAAAATTTATGTTCTATTTTTTTATATTTAACTGTATCTTCATTTAATGTCTCCACATTCAAATTTTAATTTTTTTTAATATGCACATATTAGTTCTTTCAATTAGAAATGAACATGACAAAAAATTTATAAATGAACAGAAACGAGAAAATACTAAAACAAATTAGTGACACAGAAATATGTAAATACATAAGTTTACAAAAATATCTGTCCCGAAATATATAAAGTCGACCTCTTTGACTTTTTTGTATCGAAATGTTTGTGCCTAAATGTTTTTACCAAAATATATTATAATAAATCTAAATGTACGTACCAAAATGTATTATATTGAATTAATGTATCTAAATGTCAATACCGATATGTGTGTACCAAAATGTAAGTACCGAAATATATTATATTAAAGTAATGCACCCAAAAGAAGAACAAAGAAATTGTATTATATTATATTAAAAAAAAATTAGTTTACCTTAATGTAGACATCAAAACATATTGTGATGAAATAAATGAAATTGAAAATTAAATTAATTAATATGCTAAAATAGGAAGAAAAGGAGAAATAAAACAATAAAAATAACTAATAAATGAAATGATTTAATGTGTCATAGAAGAAAATTAGATTTTAATTTTACACAAAGTTATAGTCTAAAACTTATATTTTTTAAGGCTTAAAATGAAGTTTTCTAATAATATTTCTGGTTTTTCTCTGTTTTTGGGGGAAAGAGAGAGGGGTGAAAGAAGTTAATTAGTTAGTAAAGAATGGCTGGAAATTATGATGAATATGATGGCGCCATTTTGGTGAAGAATCTTTACTTGTCCTGTGATTCCTGCATGCGAGGCGTTAAGCACAGCGACGCCTCCACCACTGCCCAAGATCGCATTGTTTTCTTTGCCACCGGCCAAGTAAGTGATCACATTACTCGCTGAACTATACATTGCTTTTCTTTTTCTTATTACGAAACTAATATTCCTTAACGTACTACCAGCCAATCGTTGGATATGGAGTTTGTAAAGTTGTAGATTCTAAACATCCAGACTTCAAGGCGGGTGATTTAGTTGGGGCGTCACAAAATGGGAGGAGTACACTCTCATCACTAACACGGAAAATTTCTTCAAAATCCACCACACCGATGTGCCTCTTTCCTACTACAATGGAATTTTAGGTCCGTGTACATGTAATTCACTCATTCATTCTTATAGAATTTTCTGCTCATCTTTCTTGTAACTCTTTACAAATGACTGTCGTTATATAGGTATGGCTGGCATGACTGCTTATGCTGGTTTATACGAAGTTTGTAAACCTAAGAAAGGAGACAAAGTGTACATCTCATCCGCATTTGGCGCTGTGGTCAGATCGTCGGCCAATTTGCCAAACTCATGGGTTATTATGTTGTTGGAAGTGCTGGAAATCAAGAAAAGGTACCGACCCCACTTACTTATTTAATCACAAGTTACTACGTTGTTGGAACTGCTCGATGCAGTGCTCATGAACATGAGACTTCATGGCCGCATTGCCGTGCGCGGGCTGATCTCGCAATACAACTTCGAGGAGCATGAAGGAGTCCAAAATTTAATGCATCTGATTTACAAGCGCATTCGTATGGAAGGGTTTTTTGTGTTTGACTTCTGCCATCTGTATCCCAAGTTCTTGGATCTTGTGGTGCCCTACATCCGAGAAAACAGGATCACTTAAGTGGAAGACATAACTCAAGGCCTTGAGAATGGTCCTGCATCACTCGTTGGCCTTTTCTCTGGCCGCAATGCTGGAAAGGAGTTCTTCTAGTTGCTGGCGATTAATCCCCAATAAATAAGTTCCTAAATCTAATTTTTCCATGAGTTGGGTTATTCATTGTTAGTAAATTTGGTTCAATTTCAGTCAGCTGTTTATTGTATTTAGTTGCTTTTGATTAATGAGTGAATGTTTCCTGCTCAATGGGAAATAAGAACTGTCATTGTGTTTGTTTGTAATCATAAGTGTTTATATGGTTTGGAGAGGAGTTAACATTCTCTTTGGATTGAATGTGATAAGTGCCTCGACGTTTATCGTTTGATTAGGCAAATTGATGTACCATTCCCTCTTCCATGCATATTTGGTTTTCTCAAATTTATCGCAAACGACATCATATGGCGGATTGCTTGCAAACTATGGTGTAGATCATGTTGGGATTCATTGGTGAGATTCTTTCCGCCGTGCATGTGCGGTTGCATTTTTTTTTTTCAATCATAATTGCAACTTCAAACATCTTTTACTTACCATAGTGTTAAAAGCGAATCTCACATTGAGAAAAGAAAGGTTAGCTGACCACTAGGGGCGGGAGGGATCAGCTAACCCTCCTAACTATGACAAACCTCAATGGAAGACTTAAGTTATGCCCCTTTAAAGCTTAGAGTTGTCCTTGAGATATGCCCTGCTTGATGAAATGCCTCAATGAACAGTAGGTATGGCAGGGCAGGGCATTTTGTGCTACTCCTTTGTTGCTGATACAAGGTCTCTTTTGCTGCTGATCCGCAGCTTTGCACGCAGCGAAACCAAGTCATTATATATACATATATATATATATATATTTTGAACGAATATATGTATGCATATTTTTAATAATAAGACCTGACCACTTAAAAAGATAAAAATAAAAAATAAAACTTTAGCTTCTAGTCTAGACATATATAAAACCCAAATCTTTAAAATCAAAATTTTGACCAAATCCCAACCCCAATTCCAGACGGTATAAAATTCTAATTTTCTTGCATTGATAATGAAGCTATAATACAACATTTTCAAATACAAAATCGCGCCATAAAATTGTTGCTTCTTTAATTCAACTGATATGATGGTCGAAAATTAGAAGAATGTGTGAGAAGTAAAACGGGATGTGTGGATATCACACCCCTTGATTTTGTGGTGGAACCTCAACTTTTTTTTCACAAAATTTTTTTATATAAAAAAGGAAAAAAAGAAGAAAGAAGGAATTGATGAAAAAAAACAATACATAGATACCCTTGATGCGGAGAAAAATTTGGAAAATGGGGTCCGTAACGTCCGTTCACGCTATTTGTATGGCATTTCTTATAAAAACATGACTCTCTTACAAAACAGCCTATTCAATTTGTCAAAGCTGCCCTTTAATAAGGCAGCTCTACTAATATCTTCCTCCTTAATATGCCTTATACTCAAATTTTTATGGACGATAAATTGTAAAATAGTACAGAAAAGTGATCATCACCAGAAGTCCAAAAAGCTTGCACTACTCGGCAAGAACAAAAAATAAAGACGGTTCCATAAAGGTAACAATCATAGAATAAAAAAGACAAAAAGGATTTGGCAAATGACTTGATTTGACATTAATTTTTGACATTCTGACCAAAAGATAAGTTGTTTTAGTTCGATTACGATGCAACAACCAACACATTGTGATTAAGTGAAATTGTCATGGTTTAATTTGGACATCACACCTGTAAAAGCTAGCCAGCTTGATTGTACTAATTTATTACGCAACCAAAATTCACCACATTCCAACACAACAAAACACCCCAGTTACCTCTTCCCTCTCGTAAGCAATTACGTGACTGAAAAGAAAAGTCATATTGTTTGAGAAACGTGACTAAAAGAAGCTGCAGAATGTGCTATAAATAGAGCTTAAATACATTATCTGCTAATAACCAGCAGATCAGGAAACAAACTACAAATTTTGCTCATACCGCAGCTTAAGACTCGAAGAGGGAAAGAAAAATTAGGCCCTAATAAGTTGCTATATAGCAATGGCACAAGTGATGAGCAACAAGCAGGTGCTTCTGAGGGACTTCGTTAATGGCCGGTCTCCGACGGAATCAGACATGTATGTCACAACTAATAGCATAAGTTTGAAGGTTCCTCCACAAGATTCAAACACGGTTTTGGTGAAGAACCTCTACTTGTCCTGCGATCCCATGATGCGATTTCTTATCATGAAATCAGATCAGAGAATGAGTAAATACATTTATCCTTCTCCTGGCTCTGTAAGTCATGTTTTAACTATCACTTTTTAACAGTCTACACATTCTTAATTTTTTAAAACTTGATGGAAATTTTGATGCAAGTAAAATCAATGAAAATTCCCTTATTTTGAATACAGCCAATTCGTGGATATGGCGTGGCTAAAGTTTTGGATTCAAGTCATCCAGAATTTAAAGAAGGTGACTTGGTATGGGGGCTAACCAAATGGGAAGAGTACAGCCTCCTCCCAAACCCTGAAAACCTCATCAAAATCCACCACACTGACGTACCCCTTTCCTACTATACTGGAATTCTCGGTAAGTATCGTAATTTCTCATGCACGCGTGCATATAATGACTATTTTGGTGCACTATAAAACTTGCTGGATGCTCATGCAGGTATGGCCGGTAAGACTGCGTATGCGGGTTTCTTTGAAGTATGTCGACCTAAGAAAGGAGAGTACGTTTTTGTGTCAGCAGCATCTGGTGCAGTAGGTCAGCTTGTCGGACAATTTGCAAAATTGGCAGGTTGTTATGTCGTTGGAAGTGCTGGGAGTAAAGAAAAGGTTGATCTGCTGAAGAGCAAGATAGGGTTCGATGAGGCTTTCAATTACAAGGAGGAGCATGATTTAGACGCAGCTTTGAAAAGGTACTTTCCTCAAGGAATCGACGTCTACTTTGAGCATGTTGGCGGGAAACTGCTCGACGCCGTGCTGCTCAACATGAGAGAACACGGTCGCATGGCCATGTGCGGAATGATTTCGCAGTACAATCTTCCCGAGCCTCAGGGGATTAAAAACGTGATGCAGATTGTTTTGAAGCGGCTGCATATACACGGATTTACTCATCGCGATTACGATCACATTGTCCCCGAATACTATGAATTTGTGCTGCCATACATCCGACAAGGGAAATTGGAGTATGTGGAAGACATAGTTGAAGGCCTCGAGAATGGTCCGGCAGCCTTGGTTGGACTCTTCAGTGGTCGCAACGTTGGAAAACAAGTGGTTGCACTTGCTGGCCACTGATTTACATTCACCTCGTCCCACTCTATCCATATATTTATGGTTACTGGTTAACTCGGTTTGTGGCCTTCATTTTAGTTGTTCCTTGTGCATTGTAAAAAAATAATAATAAGAGCTTTCTATCTTTTGGAAATAAATTTTGAGTTATAACTTAGGAACCTCCTAAGTGATAGAATTTGTATTTTCATACGTTACGTTTTGGGTTTGATTTCCAGTTCTAGTAAAATCACACGATAATGGTCAGGGAAGAGGTTAAAATACCTCTGTGAGTTTTCTCGGTCCTCTGAAAAGTAGACTGTCGTGACAAAGCTACTAGATAGTTCCCTTAAAAAAAAAACGATAACATTTCTAGGCCTAAATGTAATGTTGTAGTTTTGCTTAGGTTTTAGGCCCATTTCACAAAAACAATCTTTTACTTAATATTGAATAGTAACTTCGCGTAAGGTCAAATATTATTCACGCATGAAGTTAAAAGAATTTTTTTTTTTTTTCAAAAAAAAAAGAAAGAGAAGCGAAGATTGTTATTTTAGGAGGATAAAAAAAAAAAAAAAAAAAAAGTAGTCCATACGGAAGTACACATAATTATGTTGATGCTTTTATGCAATGGGAAATATAAATTTAAATTTACAAAGTATAATTTGAATTTGAAAATTGTGGCTGTGATATGTCGAATATATGGAAAAAGAAAAAGGAAATTGTAATTGTGAAACCTGTGATGTTGAACGAGCAACAAAGTTGGAATGGAAGAGTTTCGACTCTCCTCGCGGACTCGCGGCCTTGATTTGTTCTAATCTCACACGTGTCAAGAATATACACTCACAGCGGCTCCGAGCTAAGGGACGCCCGCATCACGCCATTGCATACCTTAATATTCTTGGCTTTCCGCCGCTTCCAATTCCCATTCCCATCGATTTGCAACCACCACCAGCAGCATTGCTCAAATCGCCCTCCGCCTACACAGAGAGAGATAGATAGAGATAGAGAGAGAGAGAGAGAGAGAGGACCAATCTCAATGGCGGCGAGTACAGAGGGAGTGATCAGCAACAAACAGGTGATACTGAAAGACTATGTGACTGGCTTCCCCAAAGAATCTGACATGCAACTCACCACCGCCACCACCAAGCTCAAGCTTCCAGAAGGTTCCAAAGGGGTTCTGGTGAAGAACCTCTACTTGTCCTGCGACCCTTATATGAGAAGCCGCATGACCAAGCGTGAACCTGGCGCCAGTTATGTTGATTCCTTCAACGCCGGTTCGGTCAGTCACTGTATATATTAGCTTACATCTCTCTCTAATTATTTTATTATTTTTAGTGTAATTTCTTCGTTTTAACTAGGAAGACTAAATTTTATTTAGTTTACAAATTTAATCTCCTTATCGTTACACTTTAACTATCTGCCTCTAGAGTCTCTGCCTGCCTTTTTAATAATTTGTTTCAAATCAAAGTTGAATACTTTTATATCTCTAGGTTAGGATAATTGGTAACGCGGTGTGCCCTTCCACTTTTATTCAATTTCAAAATTAGGTGCTCTGTAATTTAGGGTTGTTCAATTGAGATTAGAGGGATTTTAATGGATTTATAAATTCATGAATTTTGACGAAGTTTAATTGATTTATAAAGATTTTATGTAAAATTTTAAGTGAATTTTCTCGAATACTCAGGGAGATCTGTGAAATTTAAGCATGTTTAAAATATACGTAGAAATCTCTCTAATTCTCTCGAATTCCGTAACTTTTTAAAATCATTTAAAATCAATTTCTAATGAAATACACCTGGAATATTATAACATCCTTTATAATTTGATTGAATACATCTAGATTTCAGATAATTACTTAAAATCACGATTGAATACCTTAATTAGAATACTGTATTGTAAATATATAAATAAAATTGAATCCTTGAGGCATTTCTCATGTAATACTAGTAGTGTAGTACAAAAGGAGCTGATGAGGAACCCAATTAGTAATCTTGTTTTGTAGATAGCCTTTTCGTTCGGATGGTGTAATCCAAATTTATCTTGTTTGTGATTTTGGGGCTGTTTTAATAATTTATATAGTTTGAGACAACTTGTATTTCGCGGTTTTTGATGATACAATGCTATATTTATATCAGTTATATCTTATCAATACTGAGACATAGCTTCCCTATTAATTGGCATTCTGTCCAACAAAAAAGCTTTGTTTATGCTATGTACAAATCATAAAAAGGATAGCATCTATTCGATGTTGTAGTTTTATTTGACGTGTTTGATTATTGAAATGCTGGTGTGGCAGCCTATAGTCGGATATGGAGTCGCCAAAGTTTTGGAATCCGGGGATCCCAAGTTTAAGAAAGGCGACTTGATTTGGGGAATGACCGGGTGGGAGGAATACAGTGTCATCACTGCAACGGAGTCTTTGTTTAAGATTCAGCACACTGATGTGCCTCTCTCTTACTGTACTGGAATTCTTGGTATAATCAAAGCGCATTAGACATGCATTTTTGAGCAATTATCAAAAATTACAATCATTACCCTTACATTATTCTCTTTGACAATTATTATATCAAATTAAATACCATATTATTTTTACTCATTTAACATATTCACAACAATTTATATAAAAGTTTATCAAACATTATGACACTATTTTTTTTTTTAAAACACTTTTACAAAAAAATAAAAATAAAATAAAAAAAAGTTTACCAAACGTTCAACACTTTATTTTACAGTTATTTATTCTCACAGCACATCATAAATTATTAATAGAAATCATTGGATTTCGTTGATTTTCCGGCTGTCTTGATCATGTGACAGTATGGAGAGGTCTAGGGCTTAGAACGGCCACGGCTAATTTCATGGTGTGGGGACGATTACGTAGAGGAATCGTGCGGTGTTCTCTGGTGCACGCACTTATTTGGGGTTTGGTTACGAACACCTTTATGGTTATGGAGGATTTGATGGTGAATTTTGCAGGAAGGTTGGCGATTACAGAGGAAGAAAACAAACTAATTGTTGTTGATCAGATGGAGGCTTCAACATTGAAGTCTTCGAAGGTCTTCCTCATAGGATGGGTCCTTCCACACAAAGCAGTGAACAAGGAAGCCTTTAAACGACAGATGAGAAATCTTTGGCGTCCTAAAACGAATATGGTGGTGACGGATTTAGAGGATAATCAGTTTGCTTTCAGATTCAACTTCATGCAGGAACGTACCACTATTCTTCGTGGAGGACCATGACTGTATAACAAGTAGTACCTGTTGTTGCTTGGAGAGGCAAATACGTTCGCATATCCTGCTTGGATTCTTTTGCAATTTCAGGAATTTTGGGTGCAATTTAAACGGTTACCCCTATGCTACATGACTCGACATATGGGGAAATTTTTAGGAAATATATTGGGAGAGTACATCCTCACGAATCAAAGTCACAAGGAAGAATTATTGGGTAGCATTTTCGTGTGCGGGTGTGATTGGACGTAAGGAATTCATTGCGAATGTTTGTGAATATACAACTAGATAGCAGGCAAATGCAAATTGATGCTAGGTATGAGAAATTACCTCTCACATGCTTTCTGTGTGGAATGATGGACCATGTTGAAGACCAATGTGAGTATTATGAAGGAAAAGTTTTGGATGATAAGGCTAAACCGTATGGTCGTTGGTTCGAACTGGATGGGCTAGATAAAAATTCTTGACGTCCCAAAGGGAAATGGTTTGGTTTAGATGCGGAAGGTGGTTGGGTAATGAAGGCTCCGATGTGGAAGGAGGTTGATGTTTCAATGGAAATGAAAGAACGCGATTTGATGAAGACGAAGGCAGTAGGACAAGGAACTTCTTCAATCCTTGATTTGAATAAGGCCGTAGGCGAGCCAGATGGTGGGGAAGACTGGTTGCCAATGGTACCCTTCATGCTAAGGGCACTAGGTAGACAACTCCAGGATATGTTGGAGGATAGGAGGAAAGGCTTAGTGACAGAGATGAGGCAGCCACTACGGCTGTTTAGGGCTGCGATTGAACCAGGTATGAGATGCGAAGGAGGAAGTCAAAAGATGCAGGGGATTGATGATGAGACCATTGCTCTAACCTTGGCGAGTGGGGTTAGTGGTGAGGTTACGATGGTAGGAGGTGACTCTTCTAGGTCCATTGATTCAGAACTTCTTAATTTAGCTCTGTTTATTTTTGGCATAGGAACGTTAGCACATCCTGCTTGGATTCTTTTGCAATTTCAGGAATTTTGGGTGCAATTTAAAGGGTTACCCCTATGCTACATGACTCGACATATGGGGAAATTTTTAGGAAATATATTGGGAGAGTACATCCTCACGGATCAAAGTCACAAGGAAGAATTATTGGGTAGCATTTTCGTGTGCGGGTGTGATTGGACGTAAGGAATTCATTGCGAATGTTTGTGAATATACAACTAGATAGCAGGCAAATGCAAATTGATGCTAGGTATGAGAAATTACCTCTCACATGCTTTCTGTGTGGAATGATGGACCATGTTGAAGACCAATGTGAGTATTATGAAGGAAAAGTTTTGGATGATAAGGCTAAACCGTATGGTCGTTGGTTCGAACTGGATGGGCTAGATAAAAATTCTCGACGTCCCAAAGGGAGATGGTTTGGTTTAGATGCGGAAGGTGGTTGGGTAATGAAGGCTCCGATGCGGAAGGAGGTTGATGTTTCAATGGAAATGAAAGAACGCGATTTGATGAAGACGAAGGCAGTAGGACAAGGAACTTCTTCAATCCTTGATTTGAATAAGGCCGTAGGCGAGCTAGATAGTGGGGAAGACTGGTTGCCAATGGTACCCTTCATGCTAAGGGCACTGGGTAGACAACTCCAGGATATGTTGGAGGATAGGAGGAAGGGCTTAGTGACAGAGATGAGGCAGCCACTACGGCTGTTTGGGGCTGCGATTGAACCAGGTATAGGATGCGAAGGAGGAAGTCAAAAGATGCAGGGGATTGATGATGAGACCATTGCTCTAACCTTGGCGAGTGGGGTTAGTGGTGAGGTTACGATGGTAGGAGGTGACTCTTCTAGGTCAATTGATTCAGAACTTCTTAATTTAGCTCCGTTTATTTTTGGCATAGGAACGGTGCCTGGTGATAACTGAAGAGGGAGAGTCTCTAATACCAATAAAAAGAGGCAGTCTAAAACCCAACGTTTTGTTCCACCAAAGTTGGGAAAAAAAGGTCACCATGAGAATGATGAGTGGGGGTTGATCCCTGGTGTAAAGAAGTGTGTTTTGGCTACTTCAATGAGGTTCACAGCGGCAGATACTGATGAAGTTCAGCCCCGCCAAGCCAAATGAGTTGTGTAAGTTGGCATTGTTGGGGACTTGGGAACCTCCGGGCAATTCGGGCGCTAAAGAGACTTGTTCTCTTCAAAGATCCCATGGCAATTTTTCTGTGCTAAACAAAAAGCTCGAATGAGCATATGGAAGGGTTAAAATCGTAGTTGAATTTTGATTTTGTGTTTACAGTTCCAGGTTCGGGAACGTCCGAGGGTTTATGTGCAATGTGGAAAGGTGAGGCAAATTTGATGCTACGATCATATGCGTCAAACCATATTAACTTGGAGGTTGGAGGAATAGGAGATGATATTCATTGGCGACTTACTTTCTTTTATGGCTTTCCAGTGGAATCGGATAGACATAAATCATGGAGTTTGCTTCAAAGGTTGAGTGAAAATTCGGATCTACCATGGTGTTACATGGGAGATTTCAATCAAATTTTGTGTGCCGAGGAACAGGAATGAGGTGATGTAAGAAGTGACCACCAAATGGAAGGGTTTCAGAATGCATTAGCAAGTTGCTAGTTACAAGATCTAGAGTATATTGGAAATAAATTTACTTGGGTAACTACTATATGTGGGGGAATCAAAGTAAGATTAGACAGAGTTATAGTGCCACGAAAGTGGGTGGATGTGTTTCTGGGGCTTCAAGTTTCTCATTTGAAATCGAATTTGTTGGACTATATACCTATAATGCTAGAATGGGTGCCTAAGAACAAAGTTAGATTAAAAAAAAAAAAAACCTTCCGTTATAAGAAAGAGTGGTTGATGGATGAGGGTTATATAAAGGTGGTACAACAAGTTTGGGCAACAGAGTTCTATGATTCACCAATGTTTCGAGTCACGGAGAAGATTAAGGCACAGTTGGCTAATTGGGCAAAAACAACAAAAAGATCAATTTCGGGGGAAATCTCAGAAACGAAAGATAAGTTGACTGCTTTATTTGGGAATCCCCTTACTGAAACCACTATTACGCAACGACATGAATTGAATACTCGGTTGTAAGCTTTATTAGCGCATGAAGAATCATTCTGGAGGTAGAGGTCCAAGGAAAATTAGTTAAAGCTTGGGATCAAAATACAAAAATTTTTCACCAGAAGGTTAATCAAAGACAACGTAGGAATGCTTTGCCGGGGTTGTATGATGAGGCAGGGGTATGGCATGCAGACAAGAGGGGCATAGAGATGGTGATTGTTGATTACTTCATGAAATTGTTTGATTCTCAGGGTGCGACGGATGTGTCGAAAATCATACGGGTGGTCACACCCAAATTCACGGTTGTGATGAACCAGGAGCTTATTCAACATGTGTCCAATGAGGAAATTAAAGGGGTTTTGTTTCAAATACGTCTAACTAAAGCTATGGGCCCTGACGATATCACCAGGTTTTTATCAGAAGCATTGGGAGGCCAAGATGTGTGTGATGGGGTAAGACATATTCTTTCATCGGGTCATATGCTTAATAAAATCAATTATACCCATGTCACTTTGATACCGAAGAAAGTGGATCCCTCAGTGATGACTGAACTTAGGTCGATTAGTCTTTGTAATGTGATTTATAAGATATGCTCAAAGGTTCTTACTAACCGTCTGAAGGCCATTCTTCCGGAAATTATATCACCATCTCAAAGTGCCTTTATACCGGGAAGGCTAATTTCTGATAATTGTTTGGTAGCCTTTGAGATTGCTCATTAGATGCATAAGAAGAATAATGGGTGGAATGAGGTGATGGCGTTGAAGTTAGATATCATTAAAACCTATGATCGTATTGAATGGAGTTTCTTGAAGCAGATTATGAGAAAGTTGGGTTTCGCAGAGGAATGGATACAATGGATAATGATGTGTATGTCTACGGTTTCTTTTTCGTTCAAATTGAATAGTGAGCTTGTGGGGTGAGTGTATCTGAAATGAGGATTTTGTCAAAGAGATCCCTTCTCACCTTTTCTTTTTGTCTTATGTGCGGATGGATTATCTGCATTATTTGATTCTTAAAAAGCTCAAGGTCGTATTCAGGGGGGCCATCTATGTAAAGGGGCTCCAAGTGTTCATCATTTGTTATTTACAGATGATAGCTTTATTTTTGCCAGAAGTTCTTTACTTGAGTGTTTACAGGTGAAAAAGTTATTGCACACATATGAAAAAATGTCTGGGCAAGCAGTTAACCTTTCTAAAAGTAGT